TTTAAAAAACACTTGACCCCTATAATAATAATAATAATAATAATAATAATAATAATAGAAGACAAGCTACACCCCCTATATATAAAAATTACAGAATGTATGATTCTTTGTGTCGACTTCTAGTTAATAATTCTATGTGTCGATTTATGATGGTTCATAATTATATATTTCAATTCGTTGTGCTCTCAAGTAATATTTGGATTCAATGGACTTTTAATTTTAATTTAAAAAACACTTGACCCATTTAAATTATAAATATTTTAATAACTTTTGTATTTATTATCACTTTTTTTATATAATTTATGAATTTAAGATTCTGTTGACGAGCTTCGATTTGATATTCATATCGTATATATAAAATAAATAAATAATTTTAATTTTTTGTATTACAAATTAAATAATCTATTAAATGTAATTAATAATTAACAATATTATATATCGGTTAATAAGTAACCTATAAATTTATTATATGTAAATTACGAATAAGAAGAAGGAAGAGGAAAAAGAAAGAGAGATTAAACTCTCTCAATCCAAACTGATGCTACATTCATTGCACAACAGTTCAACCTCAAACACCAAATGTACTCAGAACTGAAAGTTAATGCAATTAAAATCCCATGAAATACAGAAATATAAAAAACAACCCCTGCTCATTATTCTTTAAGAAAATAAAAGATACTCCTAGTTTATAGTAATAGGACTACACTACTTGTGATGGGTTTGAAATTGAATTGTAATTGAGTTTCAACCTCAGATTCTTAGTCTGACTCACTTTACATTTACTTCAGTCTTACATTTACAATAACTGCACCCAATATTACACAATAAGTACTAGCTGCAGTTATTCATAGTTTTCTGACAATTAATTAATACACTCTTGATAAAATAACCCAATTAAACCGCAACAAACAAATCCATAACCTTGTTNNNNTGTTCATTTACTCAATTTGATTTAACACATTGAGAAATTTTGCATGATAGTAAAAAAGGTATCAGCACGCACCTCAGACGTATATCAGATGAATTGCTGCAGATTTTTCAGCCAAATTTTTCCTCCTCTGGATGAGATGCTTATGAACAACTCTATATGGACATACGCTGTCGTTTTACCCTTTGGCACGAGACATCAATTTCTAATCACAAACTTCAAATTTTGTGTATATATGTATTAATCTCTTCCAAATGTAGACGCCTCTGATCTGAAGCAGGAATTAAGATTAACACAATTTGATTAGAACTAGATTTTTCCTGCCTATATATATAAACATATACATGTCCGTGACGTGTGAGTGGCCTATAAATAATTTAATATAGTTTCTAAATCTTGACTACAGCAAAGCATTTTTCGGATAATTTAATGTACAAATGTTGTCAAAGAGAGAGATAAGAGAAATGTATATTATTGGAGATAATAACTCAAAGGTCATCTTCATATTTCCTATTTTTCTTTGAATGTAATATTTATTGCACGTCTCCACCATCCGAGGTAAAAATGTGCATCGTCTTTCCAATCTGCTTGTCCAAAATTTATTTAAAAAAAAAAACCAGTAATAATAACTTAAAAATGAATTAGATGATCGAGGCATTAATTATCCTTTGATTGCATTACTGGGAAAATTCTACGTAAGAGTCACCTTTTGCAATCTTGTCATCGTTTATTTTTTCAAGTTTTTGGTTCCTCCAGCAATTAGGCTGTGGATATTTTGCATTAATTGTATACTTTGGTAAAACTAGGGTGGCGACGAAACGCAGGGGCTTTGTGAGGGAAAATGACGAGAAATTGACGGCGAAGTGTAGGGTGGCGACGCACGTGGAGACCGTTGCCATGGTAGAAGAGGGAATTCTGCTAATATAAGATGTGAGGCACATTTCAGGGAAAATTGCAATTATAGTCTTTCTATTTTTGTCGAGTAATTTAGTCGGCTCGATATTGGTCCAAAAACTTTTAAATTTTAGTCAATTTAGTCATATTTCGATCCCGATCACCTCGATCAGAAGTTGCTGAGATGGAAAATGTCGACGTCAACGTCGACTTAGACTGATATGGATTGATTTCACGCAGATTAACTGATGTGGATTTCATTTTTCACGTAATTTTCCTTAAAATATTTTAATAATTTCAAATAAATTAACTGAAATCCAGATCGAGCCGCTGCCTCCGCCGTGATCCAGCACCGCCTCCACTAACCCCGGCGTCCCGAGGACCATCTGTTTTGCCATGTTCAACGACACATTCTTCTCTCTGGCGTTGGGGGTCCCCCACACAGGCAAATTATCAAACACCTCGCACGCGGAGCTAGACTGTGGCCAGCAGGGCTCCAAATCAACCAGCGACCATCCCAAAAGCATCCTCAAGCACTGACAGTGGAACTCGACCGAGGACCCCCATCAAGCCTTTACTAAGCAACATAAATTTGCGAGATCGAGGTTTAGGAGTTTGATAAACTTACCGAACAATGAGATTTCAATGTGGAGAATCAGA